GTAGTGGAAAACTTTAAAAAAATCGGAATTTTAACATCTAAACCGCGTCCTGGGCGTCCAAAAGTTTTATCAGTCCGAGAAGAGCGAAAAATAGTCCATATGATAAAGATGAACCCTTTCATTTCTTCTTCGAAAATTGTGAAATATATAACACAATCATTTAAAAAAAGTATTTGTGCGGAGACTGCTAGAAAAGTATTACATAAAGCTGGATATCGCGATAGAATCGCTAGAAAGAAACCGTATATTTCACTTGTAAACAGACAAAATATGCGTAGAAATGCATTGAATTTGCAAACAAATACATAAATAAACTTCCGGAGTTCTAGAAACAAGTGATATTTTCAGACGAAAGCAAGTTCTGCATCTTTGGTATAAAAGGTCGTCAAATTGTGTGGCGGAAATCAGGAGCAGTGTTAGAGAAACAAAATCTTGTTGGTACAGTCAAACACGGCGGTAGTGGAGTTATGATATAGGGGTGCATAGTGGCTGATGGTGCAGGTCAATTGAAATTTATAGAACCGACAATGAATAAATGGGGTTATTTGAACATTTTAAAAAGAAATTGGAAACAATGAGCAGATAATTTGGGCTTATCCACGTCATTTTGGTTCCAACAGGACAATGATCCAAAACACACAGCGGGGATTGTTAAACTTTGGTTTTTGTACATCGTTCCAACACAGCTTAAAACGCCTCCACAATAACCTGAGCTCAACCCCATTGAGAATCTTTGGGATTTATTGGAAAAAAGAATTCGTCAGCATGTGATAACAAGTAAAGAGGCTTTGCGGAGTGCAATGGGTGAAAAATACTGCTGAAGAAACTCAGAAGTTGGTTAATTCCATGCCAAATAGGTTAAGTGAAGTTCTAAAACAGCGTGGTTACCCAACAAAGTATTAAATTTAACCTTATTTTTATTATTTCTACCGATTTTATCAGTTTTTTTATAACTGTACGCAGACTTTATGGGGCCTATTTTTACATGCAGGCACACTTTTATCCCGTTATCTCTGGAATGAATAGTCGAATACAATTTTTGTCTTTTGCTATTTAAACTTAATAATTCAAAGAATAAATATATGTAAAAATTTTAATTAAAAATATTTATTTATGTTGTGTTTCTTTATTACATATCAAAATTCGTAAAGTGTACGCAGAGTTTATTGGCTATGTGTATGTGTATGTTTTATGTGAAGTTAGAAATTATAATGGTTTTTATAATAATAAAAAATACTGATAAAAGTGTTTCTAATAAATTAAAGGATACAAAATACTTATAATTATGCATTTAATAAAACAAAAGAATAATTGTCTGGAAAGGTGTGAAAAACAGAGCTTATAAAACTATGGTTAGAAAATTTTTTTCAATAAACACAAAAAAGACAATAATTCACAAATTTATAAAAAAAAAGAATCGATAACCAATTTTTTATGACATAGAAAATATGTATAAACAAAAAAAAATGTAGTTAAAAAGAAAACAAAAACAAAAAAAATCTCAGCAAAATCAGAACATTTTTAATAATAACTAAAAAAGTATACCAATAAAATCTACACTTGAAACATATAAGAAAATGCAATTAAATCATGCAAGAAAAGGGAATCGTAAATTAACAATATTATAAAAAAAAATATAATAAAACCATTACAGTGAGCAAAGTAAATCATAACTAATATAAAAACACTAACAATAATATTAGCAGACTTACTAACGAAAACTAAAATAAATAAAGTAACTAATATTAAAACTAAATTTAATTTAAATGTATTGAAATTAATATTATGTAGTATTAACAAAGTTCAAAAATGTATGTAAACTGAAATAAAAATTAATATTAAAGTAATGAAGAAAAAAAAAATAAATATTTTATTCAAAAAAAAAAAAAAAATTAATAAAAAAATTAAACCTAATTAATAAACTGAATTAAGGAACTCACTATAGTATTTTAATTTAAAATAAAATAAGAATCAAATTAATAAAATTGAATTTAATGGAATAAGTTTGATGGAATTAAAAAAAATGAGGACACTTCGATAAAACTAGTGTGGAAGAGAGAAACTAGTTGTGATAAGCGGAAATATTAAGCCAAAACGAGAAGAAAATTTGACATTTATAAGCCAAGTCAGACACAAAATAGCCACAAAAACAATGTACCTGTATTTTCCAAGATTTATAGATATCCAGATATACACAAGGAAGAAATTAATAGGCAGATAGAACAAATGTTACCACAAGGCATAATACGAGAATCTGCTAGTCCTTACAATAGCCCAATTTGGATAGTTCCAAAGAAGCTTGATGCGTCAAATAATCGATCTTGGCGTCTTGTAATGTAGATAATTAAATAGCCTCACTACGGAAGATAGATTCCCAATTCCTAATATCGATGATATATTTGACAATTTAGGAAGATGCCAGTATTTTACGACCATCGATTTAGCCGAAGGGTTCTACCAAATAGAAATGGACGCCGAAAACATCCACAAAACCGCATTTTCTACTGCTAATGGTCATTGCGAATTTCTTCGTTTGCCATTCGGGCTACGAAATGCCCCTGCAACGTTCCAGAGGCTAATGAATGAAGTCCTTAAAGAGTATATTGGCATAATATGCATCGTATATCTTAATGACATCTCATATTTTCTACAAGCGTGGAAGAACATATGGAGTCACTAAATAAAATTATGAATCGTTTGAGGGAAATGAATTTAAAAGTTCAACTGAGTAAGTGTCAGTTTCTTAATCAAAAAACAGAGTTTTTAGGGCATTTAAATACCAAAGAGGGTATCAAACCAAATCCTAAAAAGATTAAAGCAATAGAAAAAATTCGACTTCCTAAAAATCAAAAAGATATAAAATCATTTCTCGATATTACAGGATATTACCGAATGTTTATTAAAGACTACGCGAAAGTAGCTTTTTTATTAATAAAATATTTAAAGAAGAATGCTAAAATTAACTTAAAAGATAAAGATTATATTGAAGCATTTAAAAAATTAAAAGAAATAATAAAATCCGATCCAATTCTGGTACATCCCGATTTTAAAAAGCAGTTTACACTGATTACAGATACCAGCAACTTTGATCTAGGAGCAGTGCTGATGCAAAATAATAGTCATTTGCTATGCAAGCAGATCATTACATGATCACGAAAAAAACTATAGCACAATAGAAAAAGAGCTTCTAGCTATAGTGTGAACAACTAAATATTTTCGCCCGTATTTATTTGGTAGGAAGTTTTTAATAAAAACCGACCATCGTTCTCTTGTATGGCTAAATAACTTAAAAGAGCCAAATGCAAAACTCCAGAGGTGGAAAATCAAATTAAATGAATTTGATTTCAATATTGAATATATAAAAGAAAAGGAAAATGTTATTGCAGATGGCCTAAGTAGAATTGTTACAGATATTGAAGTAAATTTAAATTAAATATTCGACGAAGATGTAGATACAGTACACAGTGCAGATACTGATAGTACCAATTACATCAGGATAACAGAAAAATCGATCAATATATTTTTAAAACCAACTTATTCTCGAAAGAGCAAATAAGGAATCGTCTAGTATAAAAATACTTTATCAAAAGAAAATTAGAAATATAATACGTGTAACACCTGAAAGCGATATCGTAAAAGTAATGAGAGAAAAACTACCACAAAAAGGGTTAGTACTATTTCACTAACTGATAATGCTTTGTTCTTACAATTTCAAGATTTATATAAATTACTTTGCTAGCAATAGAAATTTAAAAATTATGAGATCAAATACGCTGCTTATAGATATTACAGATAAAGGAGAACTTTTAACATTAATAGAAACAAAACATCAACAAAATAATCATAGGGGTATAAATGAGGTGATGGAAGAAATAAAGAATACTCATTTTTATCCAAAAGTGCAAAAGGAAATTAATAAATATATAAACAACTGTGACACCTGTAATAAAGCAAAATTCGATAGAAATCCACACATGAAATATCACAACAACAACGTCTACAGAACATAACGAGATTGTTCTTGCGGACATTTGGTTTTCACAAAGAAATGTAATGTACCTAACTAGTATCGATAGGCTTACAAAATACGCTACTGCTCACCCGTTAAAGAATCGAACATGGATATCAATAATTGACAGTTTAAAACAAAGAATTCAATACTTAGGACAAAACAACTTAGCTACGTCTACAAATCGGTATAGTGCATCGATTTCATGCTGCGTTTATGTATTGCATGATGCTTGGAAATAAGTTACCTACGGCTTCAAATCGTTATAGTACATCGATCCATGCTGTGGTTATAGATTACTCTGTTTGTTGAATCAAGATATATTACTTTTGTGCTCTGAATTATTATTTGACTTTTGACATTTAAAAAAAATTTTTTTTTTATATGTGGGCTACGATGGCCTACGAAGTAGGCCGAAATATTTGTTAATAAAATAATTAATTACATAAATTAAATTTGTGATTACATTTGTTTGTTTTTATTTATATTATATAAAATACAAGTTATTATAAAAAAATTCAAAATTAAAAACCACGACCTAAAGCCCGGCAAAAAATTTCAAATATAAATATTGAGGTCGACACCAATACGAACATAATAAAAAACGGAGGGCACGCCGCACCAAATACAATAAGGTAATTACAAAATGATTTACACAACAATAAAAAGAAATTATAACAAAAGCACAAATAATATCATTAAGAAATATCAAAATGTTAACAAAAATCTAGCAAAAACACAATCATCCATTCGCTTGAGGTGCAAAAAGGTATGTTTAACACCAGATTTCTTATTGAATGCAACAAAAAATATCAGAAAGTTGTTTAATCACAATAATACTAATAAAGTTCCGGACCAAATCTTAAAAAGTTTAACTAAACACATTGACCATTTTCACGAAATAATATTAAAATTATTAATAGACTATAAACATTTAATATTAAATAATCACAAATAGCAAAAAGACAAATTAAAAGAAAAAATAACGATTATGGTCAAGGAATCTGATGCAAAACTATTTTTCATCAGTGAAGAATGTATACACAACAGTATAACCAAGAAAAAAACAGCAATAGAAATTAAAAAATACAAACAATTATTAGAGAGACGAGAACAAGAATTTAAAATTATCGTAAACCAAGGCTGGTTCAAAAACGAAACAAAAACAAAAATCCCAAAAAACATAGAATGGTTACTCTCTCTGGGCGCAAAGTTCGCTTTACATTTTGCTTCGTCACAATTCCCTCTCTTAGATTGCATTACTGAGGGAGAAGACATTATCCAAACTCTAGGTGAAAAAAATGATCAAGAAATAGCCAGAACACAGCTTACCCATATGATAAAAAAACAGAAAAACAAGAAATTGAATACCGTGGGACAAACTAAAAAATTTCTCAAAAAAAATTCAGACATGTTGATATTAGATGCGGACAAAGGTAATGTTACTGTTGCCATGAATAAAAATGATTATAAAAATAAAATGCAACAATTTTTGAATGACATTACCACCTACAATATCTTAAAACAAGACCCAACATCCAAATTACAAACTAAAAATAACAACTTAGTTGACAAATTGTTCAAAGGTAATGTCATTGATTCTGTGGAAAAAACAAAATTATCCACTTTTACAGCCACTGCCCCACGTATTTACGGTCTACCAAAAATACATAAACAAGGAATACCGTTAAGGCCTATAACTTCGTGCGTGAATGCACCTTCTCAAAATCTGTGTCAATACATGGTAAATATATTGAAAAATCTTACAAAAGACTCAATATACAACATTAAAGATGCTATATCATTTAAAGAAAAAGTAAATAACGCGTATATTTTTGACGATGGGAAACTCGTATCCTTCGATGTAGTATCACTTTTCCCTAGCATACCAGTAGATTATGCATTAGAGATTATCAAAGAAAAATGGTCTCAGATTGAAAAGATCACAGAAATGAAAAAAAGTGACCTTCATGGAAATACTCAAGTTCCTACTAAAAGACAACAGATATTTCAAACTTGAAAATAAAATTTACAGTCAAACAAAAGGTATGCCTATGGGTTCACCAATATCAGCAATAGTGGCGGATATAGTAATGGAAAACATTCTAGACCAAATGATGGTTAAAACATCTAATAAACCACGTTTTTTGACCAAATATGTGGATGACATATTTGCTATAGTCAAATCAAATGACATAGAGAGTACCCTGACCATATTGAATTATATACACTTTAGAATAAAATTTACAAAGAAGAGGAACTTAATGATAAACTACCTTATTTGGACACAATAGTTATAAGACATGATAACCGGATTTAATTAAACTGGTATCAAAAACCAACGAATTCTGGACGATACATTAATTTTGAGTCCCAACATCCCTACCATGTAGTGCGTAATACTGCACTTAACTTAATCAGACGTGTGTTCAATATCAGCGATTCAATTTTCCATAAGGAAAATGAAGAAACAATTATTGGTATTCTAACCAAAAATAATTTTCCAATCAACATTATCAAATCCTTGTTAAAAAAAGCAAAATCTACTGAAAGTAAAAAATCGGAGAATGAACCCAAAATTTATGTATCAATGACGTACATACCTAGCTTCTCCGAAAGCTTCCAAAAATCAAAATGCTTCAACAAAACAACGCATAAAGTAGCTTTCAAACCCACAAATACATTAAAAAATTGGTTTAATAGAACAAAAACTCCAGTAGACAAGTTAGGCCAACATAACTTGGTATACAAAATTCCCTGTGGAGGTGAAGGAGCCAACGTATGCCAACAGGTATATGTTGGCACAATAAAAAATAAATTAAGAACGAGAATCGCTGGACACAAGCATGATCTAAAGAGTCGCACTACATCTCTGGACCAAAAAACAGCTCTAGCAACACATTGCATTAAAATGAACCATTCTCCTAAATTCGATGAGGTTACAATTCTACACCAGGAGAAAAATTACAAACGTAGGATGTTGCTAGAAATGCTACATATAATTGACGTTCCAGATGACCAACAACTGAACTACAAGAGGGATACTGAAGGTTTAGCACAAATATATAGATCACTAATCAAAAATTAAAAAAAAAAAAAAAAATTACCCTTGCTAGGTAGTCACCTTGTCGTGGTGTAGGGGCTTATTGTGGACTGAAGCATGTCATATGGAAGTCATGACATGATGATTTTTCATGTGACATGATTCAGCACACAAACTAAGAACTGCCGCCAACGCACAGGTTGAAAGTAGGTATCTACGATTCCTGATCAGTCGTTGAGGCTAGCTAGTGGACTTCAATGGACACTTGCTAATTGGTCAGTCTTATAGGAAAGTGCGGCTATCTATCAGACCAATGACTCGCCTTCAGTACGGTCATGTCTCTGCTGTTTGTGGGTCGCCGGTAGTCGGGCGGGGGAGAAGGAAAACTCCCTAGGGCAGGGTCTGTACATATTCTAGGCTCCCAAGGCTAGGTCTTGATAGACTGGAGTATGAACAAACCTATTGCCCCAAACAAACCCCCTAAACTCAGAGTGGAACAGCTGTGCTGGTGAACTTGCTTGACAGTGTAGAGTCAAGCTTAATAGCGAACTCCGTACCAGGTCTGGCAAACCTACGGTTTCAATTAGTCCTTCCCATGGGGGCGCTCATGGGTGACCAACCTGCACGGTTTATTAAAACTTACTTTTTATGGATCTAAACAATATTTTCAATTCTATGGACTGCACACCTTTAAATGTGCAAAATATGGCTCTACACAGCCAAAACTTATCACTGACCGAGGGGGCACCTGATACCATCGTCAGTGAACAAATGGACCACGACTTGTTGGAGAGGGCACCCGGTCCTCTACCCGACAAGCCGGAAGAAATGGACATTCCACTTAGCCAGGAGTCGGCTGGAATGTCTATTTCCTCGGAACAGGAGAGAGATCTTCTGGAACCTGGTCCAACTAAAAAGACTCAAACGAGGGTGAAGCTATCCGGCGCTGGACACAAAAGCTTGAAGGCTTTACTTGCCAAAAGGCATCCCGCTGGAAACAGCAAGGTCCTTGGCAGTAAAGCCGGCCACTGCGACTAACGAAGGGCAGGCAACACCAAAAAGATCCCGATCGGACAGCTCTACACCAACATCGAGCTCAAAACCGACAAAGCGGATTGCATTACAGGGCAAGAAAGTTGATAACAAATCAACAGTGCCTGCAACTGCTTTGCCGATTTTCAGTAAGATGAAGGAAGTAGAGACCTCACACGGGGGCAAACCTGGTCTCAGTAAAGAGGTGGCAACGGTATCAGTGGGGCAGGCTAAACAGAGTACTTCTTCCGAAGACCATTGTTCAAAGCCTACCCTAGCAGAGACTGTTCGCTCTAAGAAGATCGGTATACTACCGCACAACTTCCCAGAGGGCATTTGGTCCAATGAGGAAATTGGTAAGGTGCAGAAATGCATCCTCGACAAGATGTACGAAACTTGTCGAGCTCCTGGGGTGAAGCCTCATTTCGCCGATTACAGTCTAAAGCCCGGATGGTTTACCATTAACTGTCTGGATTATGAGACTGTAACTTGGTCTAAAGAGACAATCCCAGCCTTGAAGCCGTGGGAAGGAGCCCAGCTGAAGGTAGTGGACGAGGCAGAAGTGCCAAAGTATGAAATCTATGTTGGCTACTTCCCAGGCTCAGCTTCCTGGCAAAGCGACCGTATTCTGGGACAAATTGAGTGCCAAAATTCGGGCACGCGTGTCAGGGACTGGAGGGTACTCCACAGGCTCAATAAGGGCGATATCGTCGAGATGGCGATTGCTCTGGATATTATGTCGTCCGAAAAGCTGGGCAATAAAGTCTTCTATGGACTTAGCAGTGCCGTGCTGAGACCAAGACATAAAGGAAACAGAGCAAAGGAAGTGGTTGATGATGAGCGACCAACAACATCTGCGGCTTGTGCTCAGTCAAGCAACCAGAAGCCGAAAACGGATCTCAATTCCGGGGGACCACCCTTGAGAGGGGGCAGAATCCGTGCCCAGGGCCGAAAACCTTCCGCTCTCTCTGGTCGTCTGAGGAAATGGGAAAGAAAAGACCCGGAGGGTGGCAAGGGTGGCAAGGGTGGCAAGGTCCGCAAGGGCCTGTCTGGGATATAATGTCCCGGACTCCGCCACATCCGCAAAACTCTTGGAGGCAACTTCATTGCCTCCAAATCAACCTCCACCGGGCTATAGCAGCTTCATATAGGCTCAGTGCCCTGGTGGAACAACACTGTCTGGATTTTGTGGCCATCCAAGAACCATGGGCCACAAAGGGGCGCATAAACGGTCTACAGACAAAAACGTGTAAGTTAATCTATGATAATAATGTTGATCGTCCTAGAACGGTGATAATGATTAACAAAACCATTAAATCTCTTCCAAATGCAGAGCTCTTACAGCGTGATTTGGTGGCGGTACAGGCAGAAGTACCTAGTACTAGGGGGACGAGAATAATAGTTTTTGCATCTCTGTACCTTCCTGGCGACGCAGAGGAAGCGGTGTCTCTCGAGCTCCAGCAGCTTACAGAATACTGCCGTATCCGATGCCAACGCACACCATACAGTATGGGGAAGCACAGACATCAATACACGAGGTGAGTCACTTTTTGATTATATTACAACCAACAATTTAATGGTAGTTAATAAAGGTAACGAACCTACTTTTGTAAATGCGATAAGGGAAGAGGTATTAGATCTCACTTTAGCAAGCGCATTTATATCTAATAACATTTCAAATTAGAGGGTGTTGGAGGAGAACTCCTTATCAGATCACAGATATATACGCTTTGATTTGGAAGGGGAAGTTGAAGACACTTTCGAAATAAGACATGTTAGGAAGACCAACTGGTCTCTATATAACTTCTATTTAGAGCAAAACATTAGTTGTCTTGGAAATAGGATTACTAATTGTCAGGAACTAAATCTTGAGTATAATTTTGTTATTAATTTTTTGAGTTGTTACGTCGAAATTTTTATTAAAATCTGTTTTGTTTTTTAAGAATGTTAACTTTTATTTCGTGCGTTATTTTTTAGTATAATTCTATACGTATTTCGGCAAATTCGCTTTTGCCTTCATCAGGAATTCTCCTGATGAAGGCAAAAAATAACGCACGAAATAAAAGTTAACATTCTTAAAAAACAAAACAGATTTTAATAAATCTTGAGGTTAACAAACTAGAAAATATTATTACAGGGGCCTTTGAAAATAGCTGCGAACTTATCAAAAAGAAACATTCTAGGAACGTCCCATGGTGGAATAGGGAACTAGATATTTTACGCAAAAAAGCCCGCCAGCTCCTTAATAGAACCAAGTCCAATGGGGACTGGGCATCTTACAAGTGTGCTGTTCGTGAAATGATTGCTATTATTTTATATAAAATATTTAATTTTTTAATACTTTATTTTTGGTTGCACTTGGCAACCCTATAATTGTATTATATTTTTTTTGAATTCAATAAAGAATTATTATTTGTGTGAAACTTGAACGAGTCGGTTCTGCTTTTTTTGTGTGTCCTCGTTTTTCGTTTATTTCGCAGTGGCTTCAAAAACGCTTGAAGTCCCAACATTTGGTGACCCCGACGTGATTGTTATTTTGACAAATATATTTCTCAGACATTGCGGTTGCAGTACATTGCTGCGTCGGCAGCACTGCATTAACCAATCTTTAGTGAAAATATTTTTTAAATATTGTTCAAATTTTTTAATAAAATATTTTGTGGAACTACCGTTGAACATTTCGTGCTGTACATTGCTGCGTCGGCAGCATTGCTTTTACAGTTTTCAAATATATTGTTAGACATTTCGGTTGCAGTACATTGCTGCGTCGGCAGCACTGCATTAACCAATCTTTAGTGAAAATATTTTTTAAATATTGTTCAAATTTTTTAATAAAATATTTTGTGGAACTACCGTTGAACATTTCGTGCGGTACATTGCTGCGTCGGCAGCATTACCTTTACAGTTTTCAAATATATTGTTAGACATTTCGGTTGCAGTACATT